GACAGATGCAGAAACCGGAAGGACACAGGACATCCCCGTCCAAGGGAAGAAGAGCAACAATGGGGGTTGAAGCGATGGTACAATGGGCAGAGAGCCTGCCTTGCACGCAGCCGACCCGGGTTCGATTCTCTCTACCTCCTATGGCTCCCTGAGCACAGAGACAGGAGCAAGCCTTGAGCACTGCCAGGTGTGCCCCCCTCCCCCCAAACCAAAGCATAACAAAACATTAATGTGGGGGAAACAAAGATAAAGGGTATATGAAACGTTGACACATTCTGTGACAGAGGATTATTCAATGTGATGCAAATAGAGCTAAATCTGTGTTGGGAGGGTCAGGGGAAGGGGGGATCTGGGACCCTGACAGGCGCCTCGTGCATCTCTATGACGGAGCAAGAGAGACCCAAATGACACACAGCACGACCGGACTTGGCCCCTCACCCCTATCAGGAGACCCAACAGGAAACTCACAGATTCTTGGAGGCAAGTAACACGCTCATCAGACCTTGGATTGCAAACTCCCAACCCCCATCTGTGCATACGCCCATCCCAGCAAGGTCGGGAGAACCTCCCAGTGAAGTGCTCGTGGGGTAGCAAGTGACTTGAGCGCCGCGGCCATTTTCTGGGACAGAGGAGACCCACAGCTCTGCCACCCTAGTGCCTCTGACCCCTTCTGGAGGCACCACTTGTCATCCCAGCTGTCAGTCTCAGAGCTGTGTGCTGCAAACCGCAACAGGTGTGTGCAGACCAGCAGGCCGGGTACTGTAGACCGGTCCCACGCCGAGGGGGACACTGAGGGCTTGGTCAGAGAATTCTGATCCTGGGAACCCCCCAGTGGGGCTCGCTTTGGGGACCCCATCATGCCACTCTGTCCTGTGTTGTCTCTCTTGTCTGTCTCTCGTGTCCGCTCAGGCACGAACTGGGAATCGCCCCCATATTTCCCCCCAGCCCCTTTCCCCTAACAAACTCAGGGGAAAAAACACTCTTGCATGTTTCTGGGACTTGAGAGCCAAGAGCCGGGATGACTGTGATCCAAGCTCCCTGGACCGGGCCAGCTCCGGTGCCAAGGTGAGTTTTGCCGTCTTTGTACCCGGGTTCCTCTGCAAAATAGCAGCAGATAACAAGGCCCCGAGAGACAGCAAAGCTGGCCGCTGGGTCACAGCCGGAGAAGCAGTAGCTCTGAAACGCTCACTGCGAACCCCCAAAGTTCTTGTTCTTTACCTAGAATCCATGTTGCCACCCATCCCCCCCCCAAAAAAAAAGGTAGAAAGGTGGGGAGAGATGGGACAGTGGGTGAGGGGCTGGCTTTGCATATACCTGACCTAGGGTTCACATCCCTGGTACCACCCAAGGTGCCTGGACGCTGCTAAGAGGGACCCCTGAGCACAGAGCCAGGAGTAAGCTCTGAGCACTGTTGAGCATGACCCAGAAACCGAAAGAAAAAAAATAAAAATAAAGGAACTTAATGCCACCACCACCACCTCAGCAGAGTCTCGTGGCCTTTTCTCCCACCTCCGTCCGCAGATTCTCAAATTTGCTGCCTGACACAGTCTGGCCACAGAACCAGCCCTAGAGAGGAACGCTAAGGCCGGCCCGCCACGTTTCCTACAGGCCTGGCGACCCCAGCTACGCTGCGGCCAAGTCCGACCCGTCCATCGCTTCCCTGCCACGCCGCCTGGGACTGTCCCGAAATGCCACCCGGAGGGTCTGCAGACAAACAGCATCGAGGCCAGCGGGCCTTGTTTGTTAGACTCCTCGATGCTCTGGAAAACAGCTTAGAGCGACTTTAAAATAGCCACCTGGGGAAAAAACACAACCGTCGCTCCAGTGGTCAAGGAAGGGCATTGGACACAGCAGCTCCTCACAGAAAATAAAACACTGGCGGCGATTTAAAAACCCTCATGAAAACACTTCGACCAAAGGTAATATTTTTATAGTCCTGGTGCCCTGGCTATAAATACGGGCATCTTCTTAAAGAGCCCTTTCAGAAGCCCAGGAGAGAAGCGGGTGACGTCACCCAGCTCCTCAAGAGAACCATTGTTGGACCTCCCTTGATCCGAGAAAGCCCCAATTCCCCCAAGGATGAGGGGAAGGACACCCCCTTATCTCTGAGGCGCAGAGAGCTCAGACTTTTAGGGTTCACCCAAACATGCGGGCCTGTCTGATGTCAACCAGTCTTGAGGACAAGGACAAAACCTTGGAAATATGCTCAGACTCCTGTCTCTTTGCCCCGTGCCCCCTCTCCTTCTTTAATTCTTTTTTTTTTCTTTTTGGGTCACACCCGGCGATGCACAGGGTTACTCCTGACTCTCAGGAATCACTCCTGGCAGTGCTCGGGGAACCATATGGGATACTGGGAATCGCACCCAGGTCTGCTGCGTGCAAGGCAAACGCCCTCCCCGCTATGCTATTGCTCCAGTCTCTCCCTGATATTCTTCTGGCCCACCCTGCAGTCCTTCGGTTTCCTCAGCTTTCCCTCGGGAGCAAGAGAGGCTGGCCCGGGCACCTCTACAGGAGGCAGGGAAGGAAGGGAGGGAGGAAGGAAGGAAGGAAGGAAGGAAGGGAGGGAGGGAGGGAGGGGAAGTAAGGAAGGAAGGAAGGGAGGAAGGGGAAGGAAGGAAGGAAGGAAAGGAGGGAGGGAGGGAGGGAGGGAGGAGGAAAGAGAGGGAAGGACGGAAGGAAGGAAGGAAGGAAGGAAGGAAGGAAGGGAGGGAGGGAGGGAGGGAGGGAGGGAGGGAGGGGAAGGAAGGAAGGAAGGGAGGAAGGGGAAGGAAGGAAGGAAGGGAGGGAGGGAGGGAGGGAGGGAGGAAGAAAGAGAGGGAAGGACGGAAGGAAGGAAGGAAGGAAGGAAGGAAGGAAGGAAGGAAGGAAGGAGAAAAGGGAGGGAGGAAGGAAGGGAGGAAGGAAGGAGAAAAGGAAGGGAGGGAGGGAGGAAGGAAGGGAGGAAGGGAGGAAACGAAGGAGGAAAGGGAGGGAGAGAGGGAGGGAGGGAGGGAGGGAGGGAGGAAGGAAAGAGAGGGAAGGACCGAAGGAAGGAAGGAAGGAAGGAAGGAAGGAAGGAAGGAAGGAAGGAAGGAAGGAGAAAAGGGAGGGAGGGAGGGAGGAAGGAAGGGAGGAAGGGAGGAAACGAAGGAGGAAAGGGAGGGAGAGAGGGAGGGAGGGAGGGAGGGAGGGAGGGAGGAAGGAAGGAAGGAAGGAAGGAAGGAAGGAGAGAAAGAAGGAAGGGAGGGAGGGAAGAAGGAAGGAAGGAAGGAAGGAAGGAAAGGAAGGAAGGAAGGAAGGAAGGAAGGAAGGAAGGAAGGAAGGAAAGGAAGGAAGGAAGGAAGGAAGGAAGGAAGGAAGGAATCATAGGCTTTTGGATCTTGCAGTAAAGGAAACTAATCAAAAAAGACATCCGAGCCTCTCCAGGAAAGGAAAGACTCTTTGAAAGAACATGGTTGTTTTTTGTTATTTAAGGAGAGCCCACACTTGGGATTCTTTGTGGAACTAGCACCAATCGAAGCTCCCAGAGCAGCCCTGAGCAGCCCTACTGCTCTGGGATAGTGCTCCTCTCAGGGGCAAGGTCTGAGGCTGCAAAAACATTTAGATCCTTAAGGCACATGTAGGAGAACACGGACCCCCCCCCCAGATGAAAGCCCACTTTCCATGGCCTGCATCCAAAGAAGAGCCTTCCTGAGCCCACTGAAACTGGTTCTTCTACTTGTGTCTTGGGGCCTCATTCAGTGGCTGGCCCTGGGCTCAGGGGTCACTTCTGGCTGGACTTGGGGGACCCTATGGGATGCTGGGGATCAGATCCAGCTGGACAGCCTGCAAGGTAAGCGCCCTACCCACTGAACTATCTTTCTGGCCCCTATTTCATTACATTTATGTTGTTAATTTTACTCCAAAGTTCTAAGCGGAGGGTCTGAGTGACAGTATAGGGGTGAAGGTGCTTGCCTGGCTTGTGGCCGACCCCTGCATATAGCTGATCTCTGCGAGTGTCTGATCCCTAGAACTACATACGGTCCCCTGAGCACTGCCATGTGTGACCCCTCAGAACAGTAGGGTGTACCCCCAAAACAAAATCAAACAGAAGCAAAACAAAAACAAATAAAAGGACCCCAAAGTATTTTTAAGTGGACTGGCTTTATGGAGAAACGCTAGGTGGTGGGGGGTTAAGATGGCTGGTGTTTTGTATTAACCCTTTCTGTCCCTTGCTTGGGGGCCACTCACCATGAAACCATGGGCTCCAGCTGGGGTGGGGAAGGGTCACTCCTGGTGATGCCCAGGGGACCAGTCAGTGCTGAGGACCAAGTCTGGACCTCCTGCATGCAAAGCCCATGGGATCTGTGTCCCTTCTATGGCTCCTTCTGAAAGTCATTCGCCTCCTCGAATTTCTTCTCACTTGAACCATCATTCAACTCCCGAAGAACGTAATTCGTGATGACTCGCGAAGCGGGGTCCCCTCCTGCTTCCCCGTGGGCAATCTCTCCCACCATCCCCACTCTCACCCGTTGGTTCTTGAGCTGTGTAGACACCCCAGCATGTGCAGACACATAGGTGGTGCTGCGTGGGGTGCCCCCAGCCCTCATAACACACACAGTCTCACACGGGGAAATAACTCCACACGGGAGACAGACTCTGCCTCCCAGAACAGGCAGCAAACTGCAGAGATCCGAGTTCCAGACTTTTAGCTGAGGGTCCTTGCTGAGAACCCAAATTTTCTGGACTTGGCAAAAAAAAAAAAAGTCTTTTTCTTACAGCATCTTGACAAGGCAAATCACTAGAAAACGGAGCAGGGATGGAGAGGTTTTTGTTTTTTTTTACAGCCTGAGAACAAGGAGCCACGTTGTACTAAGCCACGGGGGCAGCCAAACCTTGCATCAGCGGCTCCTGGCCACGCTGCACGGCTCCTGTTTATAAGCCGCCCGCATTCCACAGACGGAGGTGGCCGGAGTCTCCCTGCCCCGGGGCTCCTGCAGGCGCGCTGGCCAAGTAAGTGGCCGTCGGACTCTCCCAGAGCCATGGCGCAGAACCGACTGGTCATTTGCCTCCTGGTTGTCACCTTGTTCCTGGACCAGGCCACCAGCCACCCATCCAAACTCAAAACCCGGAAGCACAGCAAACGGCGGGTGAAAGGTAACGTGCCCTGGGCTGGCGGATGACTGGGGCAGCGTGCACTCTCTCTCTCTTCCCCAGGGGACATTCCCGGGCACGGACACTCCAGCATGCGGCTGTGACAGATCGCGGCTGTGACAGATCAGGGCACAGTGGGACCTTGTCATTCTCTAGGAGAGACTTCAGCAGAAGGACGCAGAATGGATGTAAAAGCTCTTTAAAAAAAATATTTTACTATTTTTTTAATTTTTAATTTTTTTTAATTTAACTTGATTTCCCAGCTGGGGCTAACGGGCGGGGTGTGTAGAATGTCCTTCAGAGGGACCACCCCTGGCTAGGGGGACGTCTGGCTTTATGAATGGGGGTGAACAGGATGTTCTGGCTCATTGAATCCAGGGCATCAAAGCAGACTCTGTGCAATCCTTCAAACAGATTGGTGAGATGCTATAAGCTTCTTGAATCTACAGCCCAGGGCAGCTGTTGGCCATGGTGACATCTGCTTTTGTCATCAGTTATCTCTGAGGTGTGTTATCTGTGGCAGTCCAAGAATATACGTAGTAATACAACTTAGGTAAGCCTTTTCATTTTCATTTTCCCCTGCCCTCTCCTGCCTGGCAAAGGTTTCAACATGCCATGCCATAGGGTGTCAGAAGACATTTCAGTGGCAAACTGGATCTCTAAGCAATCCCTTGCAAGTAATTGGGGTGATTTGAATCAGGTGCAAGCGCAGAGGAAGAACACGTTTCAAAGTCGAGGGCAATTCATTGCCAATATGTTGAGATTAAAGTACAAGGAAAAGCGTTGAGAACAACACGGGCTGGGGTGTGATTTCATCGGTCAGGCCTGAATATTTTTTTTTGAAGTCAATTATTTTTATTTAAAGAAATAATGAGTTGTTATTATTCTCAAAATATGTGCTCTCTACAATATAAGTAATTTCTGAAGGCATGCCTTATTTATTTATTTAAATTTTTATTAGTGAGACACCATGAGGTACAGTTGTAGACTTACAAATTTTTGTGCTTGGGTTTCAATTATACAATGATCAAATACCCATCCCTCCACCAGTGCCCATTTCCCACCACCACGTATCCCAGTATCCTTCCCATCCCCCATCCCCCATCCCCCCCAATCCCACCCTGCCTCTGTGGCAGGGCATTCCCCTCTGTTCTCTCTCTCCTTTTGGGTGTTGTAGTTTGCAAAAGAGTCATTGAGTGGCAATTATGGTCTATAGTCTACTTTCAGCATGCTTCTCCCATTCTGGGAGGATCCTCCCAACACCCTTTATTTAGGCCTGAATATTTGCAGGTAAAGGAACCGGCACCTTTTCTCTGTTAGATGCACTTTTATTTACAAGAAAACATAAAAAGCACTAACACCCCAAGGGTGAGCTTCATGATGGGCTGACTGAGGCTTGCCTGGGTCCATGGGTTCTAGAGGATGGTAAAGTGCCTTTCTCCAGGGACTTGTTTAAGCCTAGTAGGTCCGGCCCAGGTATTTGGGGTGGAACCTTTCTCCCTGATAAAACAGTGTTCCCCTTGAGACCTCTTTTAATGAAACGCTGCTTCTGGGGAAATCACAGCTGGGCTCAAACCCAGGGCCTCGCACTCACAAGGCAGCTGCCTTACCACTGAGCTGCATTTCTAGTACTTGTGAGACTTTTTTTTTCCCCCCATTTGGTGTTTGGCTATCCTTGGGGCTACTCCCAGCTCAATGGTCAGGGGTGGTTCCTGTCCATGCTGAGAGGACCATGCAGTGCGGGATCTGTCACATGCAAGGCAAGTGCCCTGCCCGGACCCACACCTGAAGCTACCCCCCCCCCCCTCCGCCACACACACACACCCTGGACACTTTTTTTTTTTAATCCTCACCAAGGAATTTTTGCTCATTTTTGCCAATAGGTTCAAGAAAGGAGATTCTATCATCGGTGAGGCCCTTAAGCCTAAATTGCAAAATTCTCCTTTTCCTGCCCACTCTTAGGCCTTTAAAATATTTGAAGCGGGGCCAGGGCAGTCGAACAGCAGTCAGGGCGCTTGCCTCACACACAGCCGCCCTGTTTTCGTCTGTCCCCAGGCCTTTCAGGAGTGATCCCTGAGCTCAGCCAAGAGGAAAGCCCTGAGCACTGCTGGGTGTGAACAAAAGTGAAGAACCTGGGGGGGGGGGGAGGGGAAAATATAAGAGTTTAGGAAACCCAGAGTGAAAGCCGTCTTCTCAGTCCTGATTCTTTCCACAGAAGTATCCACAACTGACCATTGGGAAATATGATATATCCTCAGAGGGGATGGTCAGTTAATATACAGTTAAGACCAGACGTTCTTGATGAAATAAGAGACAGCCATCAGTAGTATTCATCAGCACAGAAATGCATTTCCTTCACCTCTCAGATTTTGGATTTACAAGATTTACCTTACAAGGCCTCTTTTGTCCCTTTTTACAGCTGCGTGATATTCCACTGTGCAGGTGGACCAGGCTCAATTTCATCTGTTCTCAGTTAGCCTTTGCATCGTTTCCCATCCATTCCTCTCTGATTGGAGGCCTCAGTGCCGTGCATTGTCCAGAGACTGACCCGGCTCTGAGGGAGTCCTTGGAGGGACAGGGCGGGGACGGGTCCCTTGCCCATCATCCTCTTTAGGCCCAGCACCCATCCTGGCCCCCATCGCCCTGAGCTGGGCGGGAGACCACCATCACATACACTCGATCACCCATCCTCCCTTCATCAGCTGATGCTCAGTTAACCTAAACGCAAGCAAGGAACCTCTTTCGATTGGCACTTTCCTTATCTAACGAGGTTGATCCTTTTCACATTCACTGGCTGTTCTGAGAGTTTCTGTTTATTTGGGGGGCCACACCCAGCAGTGCTCAGGGCTTACTCCTGACTCTGCACTCAGGGAATCACCCCTGGCGGGGCTTGGGGACCAGATGAGGTGCTGGGATCAAACTTGACTGCATACAAGGCCGTGTATGTCCACTTACTAATAAGTTCAGTCCTAAAGTATAATTGTTTGGTGGCTGGAGCGATAGCACAGTGGGTAGGACACTTGCCTTATACATAGCTGACCCAAGTTCGATCCCCAGCATCCCATATGGTCCCCTGAGCACCCCCAGGAGTAATTCCTGAGTGCAGAGCCAGGAGTAATCCCTGAGCATTGCCAAGTGTCACCCAAAAAGCAAAAATGAATAAATAAATTGCAATCGTTTCTTAATGGTGAGATAGTGCTGCCCTGTAGTCACTGTAAACAAAACACATCCACGGTGATCGGTGATCGCCACTTGGGATGGAAACAGAAATAAGCCACCAGGTACTGATTCTACTAAACTCGTGTCTGTGAGCTAATAGCCACTTTGTGGAGGCAACTTAATTATACAGTGCAGGTCCAGAAACTACAGTTAGTGCAGAGCTGACCAGAGCTAGGGTTAGGGTTAGGGTTAGGGGTAGGGTTGAGTGCAGAGCGGAAGTCTGAGGAATTTTCCATGTCGGACCTCTGCTCTCAGTACCTCCGTCTGCTCTCTGGGCAGAAGGAGCCCAAGCTGCCAATCTGCAGGCAGCCACATTACTGAGCTGAGGTCCTGAAGAGGGAGGAGCCTCGGGAATGGAGGAGGCAAAGGTTTCTGGCTGGAGGAACACCTGGTGTCAGGGATCCGTGGACTGGCACGTTTGGGGATGGGACTGCTCTAAAGAGATCCAGGGCAGGATTGCTCCACGGCTTGGAAGCTGGCCTCACATGCTGGGGGGAAAAGGCAGCTCAGATAGAGAAGGGAACACCAAGTAAAGGGTACTAGGAGGACCCACTCGGGATGGGAGATGCATGCTGAAAAAGTAGACTATAGACTGAACATGGTGGCCACTTAATACCTCTATTGTAAACCACAACACCCAAAAGAAGAGAGAGAGAGAGAGAGAGAGAGAGAGAGAGAGAGAGAGAGAGAGAGCAAAAGGGAATGCCCTGCCACAGAGGCGGGATGGGATATGGGATGGGGGTATGGGAGGGTTACTGGGATCATTGGTGGTGGAGAATGGGCACTGGTGGAGGGATGGGTCCTCGATCATTGTATGACTGAAACGTAAGCACGAGAGTTTGTAAGTCTGTAACTGTACCTCACAGTGATACATTAAAAAAAATAAATAAAAATAAACAAATATAAAAGATCCAGGGCAGGAACACAGCAGGGAGTGAACGGTCCTGTCTGACTCTCAGTCCTTCTCTGTGTGAGGCCCATGTGCTGAGACCACGTGGGTAGAGACGGCCACCAGGTGTAGGGCTGCCCGGGCATGGGGCTTGGTTGGTTCACTTCACTTTCCACAGCGAGTGGGGAAGGAGAGTTTTCCTTCGGTGCAGCGGAGTGGGGAGGGAAGAGTATTGATCCTTTACGAACAGGGGAAATGCAGGTTGATGGAGCACCGTGTAGGGTGGCCTTTAACACCTCACGTCATTTATTACAACCGATTACAGTCAGCGCCGCTGGAAAGCTCAGATGCCGGCCAGGCAGAGGAAGTCCCTGCGGCAGAGGAGTTTTGATTTGGCCAAAGTGCTCATTTTCTAGTATTGGGTGCAGGGTCAATCATGAAGGCTCACCCAGGGATTTCCAAGACTAAATAAATTGCTAATCCCTCCTATGGAAGAGGTGCTTCCGGCCTTAATCACACTGCCCTTCCCCCTTCCTCCCCCAGAGGTGCTTAGCTCTACCACAGAACGGTCTTACAAAGTAAGCAGATGTTTGGGGAACAGGAGGTAGGATCCATAGAAGAATCTTCTAGAAAGGAGGTGGTTCTGTTGCCAAGAAGGCAAGCGGGAGATGTTCAGGTGGAAGGACCCCAAAGGGAAGCTCTTTGAAGGGCAAAGCTTGCATTGGGGCCCCCAAAGTCTGATGGCAGACAGCAAGTCCTCCCCTCACACTAGCAAAGGGATGGGGTCCTCATCAGAGGGAGCACGGAAGATCAGCACCTGCCAGATGGATTTTCCTGCATTCTGCTTCATGCTCCCAGGGTCTGCTCCATCCAAACTCCTCCCGCCTTGGAATCTGGGCTCTAAAGCTTGATTTCTTTCTGTTGTCATTTTCTCTTCCTTCAATATTTCTCCTCCCTCTTTCCTTTCACACCTCCCCCTCCTCCCGTCTCTCCCCCAGAAAAGGATGGAGACCTGAAGACCCAAGTGGAGAAGCTCTGGAGAGAAGTCAACGCCTTGAAGGAGATGCAGGCGCTGCAGACAGGTGAGACCCCCAACAGAGAGGGCAAGAAAAGGCAACCGGCTACGCTACTCAAGACCTGGGTGGCATGTTTCCGGGGGTGGGGGGGGGGCTCTACCAGGTCCGGAGATGTGCTCAGGAGCAAAGAACCATGGGAGATGCTTGTCTGGGGGGAAGTGAGACAGTGATCCTCTGCTCCCTCCTGCGAACCCGGGGGCGAAGCTCCTGACACAGGCTATTCTATCTTGCACCTCGAAAGCTTGTTCAGGATTCTTGCCGAGTGGACAGAGGTGCAACGCTGAAGCAAACTGGCTGAGCCCACGCATGTTAGCTGTCCACTAATGGTCCGCGGGAGCGTTGTGAGGGTCCCACTATCTGTGGTCGCAGGGGACCCCCACCTTACTGGCTCCAGACGTCCAGGGAAGGACACTGGCTAGAGCCAGCTATGTCCAGCAGGTGGCAGCACTCTGCATCTCTCTCTGGGGAGGCACGTGCCCATAGCCAGCAGAGTCCCACCCTGGTCCAGGAGCCCATCCTTGCCCCCTGCAGTGAGTCCCTGGCACTGCTCCAGGGACTTCCCAGGTGGGAGAGAATCACACCCCCAGGAGCCTAGAGACTTGGCAAATGGTAGAGTCCCCAGGTCAGGGAGGCCAGAGGTCCCAGGATCATTTCATCACTGTGCCTGGTGATACTGAGGGGGTGATCACTCAGGACTCATCTGGGGGACAGACTTAGAAAGATTAAGGAGTTTCAGATGCCCACCCAGAAGGAGAAGGAGTGCCGGGGACCCTTCACCTTCCATCAATCAGGCTCTAGAAATACTTTGCAAATAAAAACACGTGAGTCTGCTGATGGCTTAGAAGACTGACTCATTTTACACGAGTGGAAACTGAGGCCCAGAGAAATTAAGGCCCAAGTCTATACAGCTAGTCAAGATAGGACGCCGATTCATTGATCCTTTGCCCTAAAACTATCTTTGTGTTTGGTTTATCCTGGACAACACGAGCCATGGGTTCAAATTCCTACATGAAAAACTCTCTCTCTCTCTCTCTCTCTCTCTCTCTCTCTCTCTACAAGCAAACTAGAGCTTTTGGTTGGGGGGGGGGGTTCTCTTTAAAAAAAAAAGTAATTTTGAAATACCACATGGTTCCAAAGGTGCCTGGAAAATTCAGTATATAATGGAAACTGGCCACCACTTGTGTTTCAAAATGTCAGGAGGAGGCCTGAGCCACAGTTGGAGCGTGGGACCAATCAGGGTTGGTGTTGAGCTGGTTCCACTTAGGCACGTGAAATACTCATAAGTAATACCCAACTGCATCAGTATCTGGGTAGATTAGGAGGAAGCCATGAGATCCAATCATGGGATTGTTGAGGTAATTAAATGGGTTGATCTTAGAGAGCTTGTCACAGGCCTGTAACACTCTTCCACAAATGGTCACTTATAAGTAGCATCCCACAAGCTTCTCTCCACAGAGACCTTCTGCTCTCTGCCAGCTCCCGCCTGGGGCTTGGGGTAGGCCAGAGGCGTCTGACTACGTCAACCTTCCCTCTCTTTATCTACAGTCTGTCTCCGAGGCACAAAAGTTCACAAGAAATGCTACCTGGCTTCAGAAGGCTCCAAGCACTTCCACGAGGCCAACGAGGACTGCATTTCCAAGGGAGGGACCCTGGTCATCCCCAGAAGCATCGACGAGATCAACGCACTCCGGGACTACGGGAAACGGAGCCTGCCGGGGGTCAACGACTTCTGGCTGGGCATCAACGACATGAACTCGGAGGGCAAGTTTGTGGATGTGCACGGCTTCGCCCTGACCTTCAACCACTGGGACCGGGCCCAGCCCAACGGTGGCAAGCGGGAGAACTGTGCCCTGTTCTCCCAGTCGGCCCAGGGCAGATGGAGCGATGAGGTCTGTCGTAGCAGCAAGCGGTACATCTGCGAGTTTATCATCCCCTAGCGACTCTTCCTTCTCGGAGCTCCTCGTCCAGGCAAGGCGGTTCATGATCGCAGGCGAACAGTCCCCGCAAGGAAGCCAACAAGATCACACGGGATAGAAATGAAAGAGCCAGACAACGTTGCTGCCACAGAGGGGTAGAGGGGGCTTAGAAAAGGGTCATTCAGGGGTTGGAGCAATAGCACAGCAGGTAGGGCATTTGCCTTGCACACGGCCAACCCAGGTTCGATTCCCAGCATCCCATATGGTCCCCTGAGCAATGCCAGGAGTGATTCCTGAGTGCATGAACCAGGAGTAACCCCTGTGCATTGCTGGGTGTGACCCAAAAAAGAAATAAAAAACAAATAAAAAAAAAGAAGGGTCATTCAGCGTCAGGTCCACATTCAGGCGGCTTCTGCCATGGGCTCACGAATCCTGCGTTCCTTCCTGTCCTGTAGAGACCCGTTCCCTTTGAACATCACAGTCACCAGGAAAGCAGGCTTGGTGTGCCGCCCACCCGGCCCCTTTGTGACATTTGGGGATCCAGGTGCTTGATGAGAATTCTCTCAGTGAGAAATTTTGGGTGCTCCGCAATTCAAAAATGATTCCTTTCAAAGCTGTTTGTCCCAGCCCAGCTGTGGAAGGCATGGTGCCCTTTCTCTCCCTGGAGGTGGGCATCTGAGCTTCACAGCAGAGCACGCTCATGTCTGAGACGCAAATTGGTTCTTGCAGACCCGGGACCCCAAGCACACGTACCTTTCAAGGGGAGGAAGTTCCTAGTGGAGATCTAACACACATGCTAATTTCCTTTTAATATATGCATTTTCCTTCATGCATTTATATATATATGCATTTGAATATATTCCTTTTACTATATACATAGAGGCACATGTAGATATAATTATCAACAATCACTACTGTTGGACTCTATTAGAAACTATCTATCTTTGAAGACTGAAAACCAGAGTTGAATAATAGTATTTGGCTGGGAGTCACGTGTTGAGATGGCTTTTTATTTGACCAAAGGTCTTTTCTATGTAATTGCTTAGTTACGTGGTATAAAATAACTTGGCTACTTAATATGCCATTTCCAAGTATAGGCTGGAGGGAGATAGATATTTTAAAGGCAAATGATTTGAGGAATATTCTGTTCTTTAAAGAAATGTCCCATTTTCCCTTTAGATGTTGAGTGTGTTTCGTAAACAGTACCTTCCCCTGCAATCTTTATACCTGCTTGGAATGAAGTTTGAGTTATTTTTGTTGCACAAGAATAAAGCCTGAATTGAGACTGATGTAGATGTTTTGGGGTGTTGGTTATAACTATGTTGGTTTGTATGTGTGTAAACTTTGCCTACTTGGCGGGAAGCCCTGCATCGGATCAAACTTGTGATTGAGATCAATAAGTCAGACCAGACTACCAAGAGGTGAAGTGTTGGGGAGGAGGAGACAAACTTATACCCGAAATTATTTATGGCGGATGCTAGCCAGTTTCTACGTCAACCCAACCATGACCCCTTAAGGCCCACAATAGTTAAATTAATATACACTAATGGAGGTTGATTTCTCATCAGATTCCAGTTACTGTGCCAACTTTGACATAAAAGTCAAACATGTTAAACAACATGTCAAACATGTTAAATGTTAAACAACAGTGACCACAAACACAGCAACTGGACTCCAGAATTACTGTCTCATAGGAAACTGGAGAAAAGGGCAGAGTAGCTTCCTCACGTCCTGTGGCAGGCAGTGAAGTGCTCAGAGCATCTGGAGTCAGGCACCTTAGCTGGAAATATCAGGACAGGACAAAAATCCATAAAAGTGTGGGGAGAGGCAAAAGTCTTAAAAAAAAAAAGCAAACAAGAAATGTCTGGAGTCTCAGAGACATAGTACGGGTGAAGGCGTTTGCTTTACCTGCTGTCAATCTTGGTTCAATCTCTGGGACCACATATGGTCCCCAAGCTTTCTCTGAGCACAGAGCTAGGAATAGCCCTAGAGCACTGCAGGTGTGACCAAATATAAAAAAATATATATATATATTACATATCTGGTAAAAGTGACAATAACAAGACATGCCTGGAGCGACAAGAAAAAGAAGCCATTGGTGCCAACCCAGGACACAAAGGAAGACCCTTGGCATAGCTCACTGGTGCCCCGTAAGATAGAGGGAGAAAAGAAAGTCCCCAGCCTAAATATAGCCTTCTCCTTGACAACCACTTAGCAACGACCTTCAGCCCAAGTGAAGACAGCGGGGAGCGAAGAAGCCCTCTAAATCCTGCTCCCTGAAGCCACTTGGCAAGTCCTCCCTGGGGCCCCCCTTGTCCCCAGTCTGGGCACACAATCTCTCCATGCTCCCACGCCCTGAGCATGCCCGTGTCCTCTCTTAGGGTGTGACCTTATCTGGGGGCTTCACTTCTCTCTCTCCCTCTCATTTCTCTCTCCAAAATAAAATGAGCCTCATGTCCCAGGCTTCATACATCATAATCACTTGGCAGAATCCAACTCAGGATGCAAAGAGCAGGCCCCTCGGTCCCCAGTTCCCACTCCTGTATCCATGGCAGACACCACGAGTCCATGAAGTGTCGGAGTTCCTGCTGGCACAGCCCCCAGGCCACCTGGACTGGGTCACCTGTGGGATCACTCCAGGGGTCCTAGAGGCAATGATTTTGGATCCTAAGTCAGGACAGTGGCAACAGACTGATGCCAGGGGCCCAGTGCTCCCCAGGGAATAGTACAGGTTAATGATTCACCTTTGGCTGCGCTTGGGGACACGGTTGCCTTGAGACCCTCATGGATGCCTTTGGAACCCTTTAAGGAGATTCATCTTTGTTTCTGTTTAGAGAGCTTGGAGATGCTGAGTCTGTGTCCCCCTGAATGTTGCCACACAACTGTCCATCTTCCCTTTTGCCCGCCTCCTTTACCAAATGCCCACTATTGCCTCAGTATAATCACTCCTTGCCCCGAATAAACGTGTCAATTGACCACTAATCATTGGCCCCTGTCTATTGGTTCCAGTCAATAGCCCGCATTCATGTCTATGAACTGTCAGTCTGAAATTGGGTTTGTATCAAATGGCCCATTGCTCCCAAGTACTCCATCACCACAGGACAATGACGTCAGGCCATTGGGACAGAGCCTCACCATGTTGGTCAAAGGCACTGATGTAGGGAGCCACTGCCTGGTAATCAGCTGGTTGTCCCACCACCAGCCCTTTGGATGGGACCTGTCCCCCTCACCCAATGCAAGAACTCCACCTGTCTGAGATGACCCCACCCAGGTGCTGAGTCGAAGGATGAGCAGATGGCCTGGAATCTCAGCAGTGTTTTCATGTCTGATCATCACAGGCCTCCCCAAACAAACCCAAACATCCCCTCACCCTGCTATTTGCAGTTCCCAATGATGGGATCTGAGAATGGCTTTGGGGCTCAGTGCTCAGTGCAGTCTTAGACTCATACAGGCTGGGGATAGGGGGTTAGTGTGACCCTCAGAGTCATTCCTACTCGGAATCTCCACATCAGCCCACTGGAGGGAGGCTCTCTGCAGACTAGTGGTTGGTTGGGGCTGCCATAACAAAGAAACATGCACTGGGGGTCTCCAACAGGGGAAATGTCTCTCCTGACACTCCTGGAGGACTGAGGTCCAAGAGCAATGTGTTCACAGGAGTGGTCAGGGGGCAGTGGTCAGGGTCTCCTTGGTTTGCAGAAGGGTCACCCCTCTGTCCTACTTTCACTCCCCCAGTGCTACCCAGAGTCCCAGGGTTGTTTTGGCATCACTGAGCCTGACAGCACAGGGTGAATGTCTTGGTGCTTGAGGCAAAGGGCCAACCCCAATGCTGCTTGGGGACCACCAGGGTGGTACCTGGAGGTGCTTGGGGGACCACGTGCTGGGATTGATACATGGGCCTCATGCATGCAGGCAGGCCACCATCTCCCCACCATCTCCCCACTCGCATCTGCTTACAAGCTCACGCTGGATTAAGTCATATTGGGTTAAAGTCCCACCCCCACCCCCATGCCAGTTGAGCCTTAATCGCCTCTTGCAAGGCCCCTTCTAGGAAGAGGGGCAGTCTCAGAGCTGGAGGCTAGAACGCCGACCTAGAGATCTGGGCAGAGAGGAGCCAGGTTGGACAGAGCGGCAGGTGTAAGGGTAAGGATGCACTAGCCCTGGGTTAGGGTGGTCCCAGCACATCTGGATTGGAACAAGAGAAGACACATAACAGTGCCATAGAGGAAACATAGAGTGCAGGGGGAGCAGAGAGGGAGGGAGAGAAACAACCACAAACCAAGACACTCCCCCAACCCTGCCCTAAGAAGCACCAGCAACCATTGGCCGAGAGGACAGAGGCTGGGAACAGATTCCCACTCGAGCCTCCATAGTGACCTGCCCTGCCCCAGAACATTTGCTAGATGAAAGGGGGTACTTATCCACACCCTCTTCTGGAACTTGATGTTTTGACTTCGTAGACGAGCACTGGGTGGGGCTCCCAGGACCAACCGGGGCAGGGCACACTTGGCATGGCCGACTGTGCCCAGGCACTGACGCTGGCCACAGGGCAGTCCTGCTGCTGGTGGGTGGAGCACCAGTACCGCCTGGCTGGTGGTGGGCGCCGGCTGTCAGGGCTGGCGGCAGCTGGTCGCTGTCCACGTGTGGGGTGCTGAACCCCTGAACAGCCCCAAACACACAAAGCTGGACCCACACACCTCACGGGAGCCTTCCTCTGGCCGCTGGGCATGAGTTTGGATGACAGGGAAGACTGCTGGGGGCAACGGGTCCTTTTTTGTCTAGGTGTGCGTCTTCCGGGAGCCCCTGCCCAGTCTCCAGGAGGTGAGGCGGCAGCCGCCACTGGCTTCTAGCTCCTTCGGGGCACTGAAGGGAACAGGGACTTGGGGAAACCAACGCACCCCAGTCCTAGTCCCTGATTCTCAGCACAAGCTGACCCCAGGGACCCTCTGACCATGGACAGGTGTAACTGTCCTCTCTCCTTGCCTAGCCGCAGCCGAGGTTCTGAGAGTGAGCGAGCACTCACC